GCAGTGTTCGAGAAGATGTGGTCGTACATGCGGAGTGCAGACCCATCGGTCTTCGTCAAGAGCACTAGTGAAGGCGTGATACGGGTCAGAAAGTCAAAAGGGAAATACGCCTACCTGCTGGAGTCCTCCATGAATGAGTACATCGAGCAGAGGAAGCCCTGTGACACCATGAAAGTAGGAGGCAACCTGGACTCTAAAGGCTATGGAGTGGCCACGCCTAAAGGATCCCCCCTCAGGTAGACTCTGAATCTGCAGATAGAGGATAATGTCGGTGTCTTGTTCTGTCTGCTTTATTTGTGGGGAAATTAGGTCACTGCATGCAAACGTATCACACTGGGGTGTGTTTTTAAAAACATATGCATTATATATCATGGTCTCATAATATTGGAATGTAATAAATACAAATTACTACTATTAAAAACTCTCAGCCAGTCTCTCCAGCGCCCTCTGGTGTGTGGATGCCGGCATGTCTAGTTCCTCTGGGAAAAATAAAAAGGGCAGGAAAACTGAAAATTAAAGTTTTGTTTTATAGCTAAAATAATTTAGTTAGCAGGGCTGCTTTTGTCTGATTGACATCCAGTAGTACTGTAAGTACACGAGGAATGTCACAATAATAGACAATTTTGTCAAAGTCTTATAGAATTATAAGCAAAACCCACTAAGTGTATCAGTGCTGGAAGAACTTGGAAGATGTCCACTAAAGGATTTATTTATAGTTTGCTGACTGACTATAAGCGCACAATAGATTTTTCTGTGACAGTTTCCAGTTTGGAGCTACTTTTAATTAGTTTGTATAAAGTGAGCTACTTATCGAGAGTTCAGCTCTGCTTAGAGGGTCACAAGATTAATCTGAGGGATTGTGAAATGATTAATTGGAGAGTAAAGAACTTTTATCTTCTGCTTGTGTGGTGAATCACTGGATAATTTATCCTTTTTTAACCTCGCACGGCTATTAAAATGAAACAATGCAAGCAGAAGAATAGCTTCTTCATGGAACAACTTTCATATATCTTATGTTATTGTCTCCGGGTCACAAGCTTAAAAGCTTGAGGGCTTCTGCTTCAATCTTTGTAATGTATTCATTTTACAAGCTTGTGATGCATATAGTGGGACTGAAATGTCAATGTTTGACTCTGAAGTATGGCTAAGTAGAAGTTTTACAGAAGAGGGAAATAAAAATAAATGGCTGTATTGGTTTTATATAATCAGTGCAGTTACTTTATAATTTACTCTTAGGAAGTGAAACTGAGGAGACGTCTGCACAGCACAGAGCGATGACTGACTGGCATTAACAGAGCAGATCCAGGTGTTTAGACATGAAAATTAAATGTCAAAATTGGTGATGATTGGAACATGAAACGAATCTAACCCCAGAGAACAGCTTCTTAGACTTTTAGACTTGTTTACTGTCTGTCTGTGTGTGTCTGTGTGTCTGTCTGTCTCTTAATCTGTCTTTTTGTCTGTCTTGTCTCTCTCTTTTTGTTTGTCTTTGTCAGTATCTGTGTTTGTCTGCCTGATGCTGCCCTGTCGGCCTTTTTGCTGTCTGTTGTCATTTGTTACACCCGTCCGACTGCCTACCTGCCCGTCTTTGCTTCTGCATTCACCAGAATCCTGACATCTAAAGTAGCATCCTAACGAATCTCATTCTGTGTCTGTCGATCAGTCTTTGAGCTTTGCTGCTGTCAGGTAAAACGCTGCTTTAAGACGAACACTTCGATGAACCTCATTCATGTTTATTTATCAGATATGACAGTTTGCTGACGATCACTGAAGTAAATAATGATTATTCTGGACAGTTTAAAGTTTTGCATTTGCACAAACCAGTATTCTTACACTTAAAAGTTTTCCTTGACGTCCACTAGAAAGCACGATCCTTGCATGATGTAAGTCGTATTATTCCTCTAAGACTGTAGAGTTCCCATGCTTGAAAAATAGGCCTG